CCTTTATGATTACATTTTTGTTCATCTACCTAGAACAGTGGTTCTCAAAGCTGTGGTTGCTGGACCAGTAGCACTGATAGCACCGGGGAATTTAAGAGTGTAATTCACCAGGTTTTATACCAAAACCTACTGAATCAGAAACTCTAGGACTGGAGTCCAGTCATGTGTGGTTTAACACGCTCTCCAGTTCAGTTCAGTTCAGTCGCTCAGTTGTGTCTGACTCTTTGTGACCCCATGGACTGCAGCATGCCAGGCCTCCCTTCCATGACCAACCAACTCCCGGAGTTTACTCAAACTCATGTCCATTGAGTCAGTGATGCCATCCAACCATCTCATCCTCTGTTGTCCCCTTCTCCCACCATCAATCTTTCCCAGCATCAGGATCTTTTCAAATGAGTCAGTTCTTCACATCAGGTGGCCAAAGTGTTGGAGTTTCAGCTTCAATATCAGTCCTTCCAATGAACACCCACGACTGATCTCCTTTAGGATGGACTGGTTGGATCTCCTTGTAGTCCAAGGGACTCTCAGGAGTCTTCTCCAATACCACAGTTCGAAAGCATCAATTCTTTGGTGCTCAGCTTTCTTTATAGTCCAACTCTCACATCCACACATGACTACTGGAAAAACCATAGATCTTTGTTGGCAAAGTAATGTCTCTGCTTTTTAATATGCTGTCTAGGTTGGTCATAACTTTTCTTCCAAGAACAAGCTCTCCAGGTGATTCTAATTCATGCTCAAATTTCAGAACCACTGACCTAGTACCTCACTTTGTAGGAATTAAGTGTCCTAGCATTTCAGCGAAATAGCCTTCACCTTGGCCATTACACTTGTCAAGCCAGGACGGGGAACAACTCAGGGAAGCCTGGAGCATGACTCCAGAGAGCATCACTGCCTAAAAGGGGCAGCCTAGCTGATCTACACATTAGCACCTCAGAGCTGACTGAAGGAAACGCCTCCAGAAGACAACTGACTTGGAATGTGAGAGGAAGCAATCGCACATCATAATCAGAAAACTGCACAGAGGGATGAACAGAAGCATCTGCTACCAACATTTCCAAAGCTAAATTTTTCACAGGTATGTTCCAGAGTATAACAAACCATTTCCATATGTGGGGGCTGACCTCTCAACTATATATCTTACCTGCCTTTTGTGTCATCACAGATTTCTTTCAGAAGTTAAAGTTCACTTCAAAGTCATAGTGAAGCCAAAAACTTTTCCAGGTGCAATGATGAGCCTTCAGAGATGACTGTGATCAAGGTCTAGGTGAAACTGGGCGTTAGGGAAGGCTGCCCTGTCTTCTGCGATACCCCTGTCCACTTCATTTACCCAGATGCACATTAGAAGAGCTGGAGGAAGGTTCAAGATCACTAATTTATTAGAGAAATGCAAATCAAAACTACAATGAGGTACCAACTCACACCGATCAGAATGGCCATCATTAAAAAGTCTACAAATAGGGATGCCCCTGGGGATCCAGTGGCTAAGAATCTAAGCTTCTAATGCAAGCAACATGGGTTCAATTCCCACTCAGGAAACTTGTCCCTACATACCGAAACTAAGAGTTCACATGCTACACCTAAAGTTTCTACATGCCACAATGAAGACTGAGCACAGTTAAATAAATAAAATATGCATTTTTTAAAAGTCTGCAAATAACAAATGCTGGAGAGCATGTGGAGAAAAGAGAACCCTCCTGCAATGCAGACTTCCCTGGTGGTTCAGACAGTAAAGCATCTGCCTACAATGAGGGAAATCCAGGCTCAATCCCTGGGTGGGGAAGATCTCCTGGAGAAGGAAATGGCAACCCACTCCAGTATTCTTGGTTGGAAAATCCCATGGATGGAGGAGCTTGGTAGGCTACAGTCCATGGAGTCGCAAAGAGGAATAGGGTGGAGAGGGAGGTGGGAGGGGGAATCGGGATGGGGAATACATGTAAATCCATGGCTGATTCAGGTCAAAAACCACTACAATACTGTAAAGTAATTAGCCTCCAACTAATAAAAATAAATGAAGAAAAAAAAAGTGTTGGACACGACTGAGCAGCTTCACTTTCTTTCTTCCTTTCTTTCTTTTTCTTCCTTCCTTCCTCCCCCCATTCCTTTCTTTCTTTCTCTTTCTTTCTTTCCTTCTTCCTTTCTTCCTCCCTTCCTTCCTTCCTTTCTTTCTTTTTCTTTCTTTCTCTTTCTTTCTTTCTCCCTTTCTCTTTTTCTTTCTTTCTTTACTTTCTTTCCTGCAGTTTTGGTGGAGATGTAAATTGGTTCTGCCAGTATGGAGAACCATATGTAGGTTCCTCAGAGAAACTACAAACGGAGTTCCTATGAGATTCAGCAATACCACTCTGGAGCACATTGGATAAAACTACAATTCAAAAAGATACACGCACCCCTATGTGCACAGTAGCACTATTCATAATAGCCAAGACATGGAAACATCCTAAAGGTCTATAGACAGATGAATGGATACAAAATATGTGGCACATATATACAATGGAATGCTATTCAGCCACAAAAAGAATGAAATAACACCATTTGAAACAACATTGGATAGACCTAGAGATTATCATTCTAAGTGAAGTCAGAAAGAGAAAGACAAATTATACCATATGATGTAACTTATATGCACAATCTAAAATATAACACACAAGAACTTATCTATGCAACAGAAACAAACTCAGACATAGAGAACAGACTTGTGGTTACCAAGTGGGTAGAAGGACAAGGGAGAGAAGGATTGGGAATCTGGGATTAGCAGATGCATACTATTATATACAGAATGGATAAGCAGCAAGGTCCTACTGTATAGGGCAGGAACTATAATATATTCAACATCCTGTAATAAACCATAATGGAAAAGAATATGAAAAAAGTATATATATATGCATATGTATGTATATATAAATATATGTATAATTGAATCACTTTTCTGTGTAGCAGAAATTAACACAAGATTATAAATCAACTACACTTCAGTAAAACAAATTAAAAAAAAAAAGAGTAGCTGGAGGAAACTTATTTACTAGCATATCAGTGTGTGCAGCCCACTAAGTTCTGACTTCATTATGGTGGGTGGGGTCTACACCTCAGTATTTTTAGAAAAACACCCCCCGTTCTTCTGTGTATTCCAATTCTAGAACCACTGAGTTAAATGAATTTGTATTTAGTACTTACATGTGTGAGCCTCTTGGTAAGGCAGTGGAAGATTCAAAAGAACAAAAGGTAGGAGGTTGTGCTTTCAAGAAGCGTAGAATGTAGAGCAAGTTATACACACCTACCTAGACCCAAAGCAGACTATAAGTACTACGTTTGCACTACACACAATTTACCTTTGCCACACACAAATTATTCTTGCCAAAGCCAGTTCAGTTCTGTTGCTCAGTCGTGTCTGACTCTTTGTGACCCCATGAACTGCAGCACGCCAGGCCTCCCTGTCCATGACCAACTCCCGGAGTCCACCCAAACCCATGTCCATTGAGTTGATCATGCCATCCAACCATCTCACCCTCTGTTGTCCCCTTCTCCTCCTGCCTTCAATATTCCCCAGAATCAGGGTCTTTTCAGATAAGTCAGCTCTTCACATCAGGTGGCCAAAGTATTGGAGGTTCAGCTTCAACATCAGTCCTTCCAGTGAACACCCAGGACTGATCTCCTTTAGGATAGACTGGTTGGATCTCCTTGCAGTCCAAGGGTCTCTCAGGAGTCTTCTCCAACATCACAGTTCAAAAGCATCAATTTTTCAGCACTCAGCTTTCTTTATAGTCCAACTCTCACATCCATATATGACCACTGGAAAAACCATAGCCTTGACTAGAGGGACCTCTGTTGACAAAGTCATGTCTCTGCTTTTTAATATGCTGTCTAGGTTGGTCATAACTTTCCTTCCTAGGAGCAAGCGTCTTTTAATTTCATGGCTGCAATCACCATCTGCAGTGATTTTGGAGCCCCAAAAATAAAGTCAGTCAATGTTTCCACTGTTTCCCCTGTTTCCCCATCTATTTGCCATGAAGTGATGGGACTGGATGTCATGATCTTAGTTTTCTGAATGTTGAGCTTGAAGCCAACTTTTTTACTCTCCTCTTTCACTTTCATCAAGAGGCTCTTTAATTCTTCTTCACGTTCTGCCATAAGGGTAGTGTCATCTGCATATCTGAGGTTATCGATATTTCTGCCAACAATCTTGATTTCAGCCTGTGCTTCCTCCAGCCCAGTGTTTCTCATGATGTGCTCTGCATATAAGTTAAATAAGCAGGGTGACAATATACAGCCTTGACGTATTCCTTTTCCTATTTGGAACCAGTCTGTTGTTCCATGTCCAGTTCTAACTGTTGCTTCCTGACCTGCATACAGGCTTCTCAAGAGGCAGGTCAGGTGGTTTGGTATTCCCCATCTCTTGCAGAATTTTCCAGGGAAGAATTAATTCTAAGTAGGAACAAGTGGATATAACTCTATGGAGTTTGAATTTAGTTTTGGAGCACTTTTAACAGACAAGGGAGAAAGAATATTTGGGGCAGAGAAAATTCAAAAATGAACAAAAGCAGGGGAGGAAAAAGGTTCTACCATTTCAGAGGGATCAGTAAATATTGTACAGTCATTGTATATAGGAGATGGGGTTGGCAAGGTCATCATGGCCAGACTTTAAAGGATTTTTGAATGCCCTGGTAACAATTTAGATCTTCTTCTCAATGAAAAGTAACACTATGACATGTGTTTATAAAGACATCATTTGGAAGATAACTACTATTTCTACTAATCAAAGTGTTATAAACTATGCTCAGCCAATTAGATAAACACTTCTTGATCACTTAATCTACTTTGTTCTAAGCTTCTGTGCTAGACACTATGAAGAATTAAAAAATACCTAAAGCAACAATTTATAATAAACAGATTGTTGACCTTTTTTTACTAGTCTTTTATAATTCCATTATACAAAATAGGATTCTGTGAGTTTAGTGACCAATTTCTGTTGTTGCTGTTGATAATCACTGTATTTTTTTTTTTTTTAGGTAATTTATATATGGTTAAAGAAGCTTAGTGGAGCCACTCAGAACATCAGCTCAGAAGCTGGTTATATAAATCATACACTAACACTCTGGACTTGGAGGGAAGGCTTGTGCCCCTGAAGACCATTCTGAAGAAAGGCTGCATTCTAGGGCAAGTGCCCTACTCAGAAAGACTTCTGCTTTTCAGGCATCTTCCACTGATGCTATTAATAAATGGGATGCATGTCACCATGGGTGAGCATTTCGTATGCAGGCATACTTGTTTGGTTTTCTTCTGTCCGGAAAAGAAAGCTTATTCACTCCTCCTGTGCCACTAATATAAGCAATAACTCCACTCCACTCCACAATGCACTGAATATTCTAATTGTTGACATCTCTTATGCTGGTGAAAGGGAGTCCTGGTACTGATATGGTGAGATCTGAGGTTACCACGCAGGCAAGCAGCAGCATCACAAAGTGCTTGCAGGGTGACCTTGGGTAGGTTATTTTCCCTCTCAAAGGCTAAATTTCTTCATCTGTAAAGTACAAAAAGTAATAGTACCTGAGATACAGGAATTTGGGGAGAGTACATGAAATATCATACTAAAAATATGAGCTACAATTACTAAAATAGCAATCAGGGCCATGTGCTGGAAGCCGGGGAAGGTGAGCCAAATGAGATAGGATGGTAGCTCTCTTTGGCAAACCAGCAGCATATGGCATCAGGGCTTACCTTCCCCAACCTTCTCCATGTAGGAGGCCTCCCACTTGCTGGCTCTGAACTGCTGAGTCTAGAGCCGAAGGGTATGAAGTGAGGGTCCCTTTCCCAGCAGCAAGTTTTGTCTGGACTCGGTCTTGCCAGAGACCCAGGGAATCCATACAGCCCCTGAGCTGGAGGAAGGGGCCACAGCCAACGAATACACAGGGCCTCTAGAAGCCGGAAAAGGCAAGGAAACAGATTCTTCCCTGGAGCCTCCAGAAGAACCCAGCCCGGCTGATACCTTGACATTAGCCCAGGGAAACTGATTTCAGACTTCAGACTTCCAGAACCATAAGAGAATACATTTGTACTGTTCTAAGCAACCAAGTATGCTGTAATTAAGCCTGGCGGGCTACAGTCCATGTGGTCATGAAGAATTGGACATGACTTAGCGACCAAACAATAACAACAAAAATGCAGTAATTTGCTATAGCAGTCATAGGCAACTAACAAAATAAAATCAGAAAAAGAAATCAGAACTAGTCCTTCAGTATCCAGTTGGGAAACTTTGTCTGTTTCCTCTTTCCCTGGGCTATCTGTCATCTTCTGGCCTTACTGAAAGGATGTGACAGAGATGGGTGGGTTCCTGTTTCAACAAGTCACCTCTAATCAGGACAGTCATAGTTTAAAGCTCCCTCTTCCAGAGACTCCTGCTGCCATACCATTCCCACATGCCACCGTCATCCTTCCCCAGGGCAAGCCCCTTGAAATACGGACATCAGATCAGATGGGATCCATGCTAATTACACCCATTCAGATCCTGCAATGGGCTGCTGGCCGTGTCTGGGCAGCCCCACAGCCAGGAAACTTGAATTATCCTCTTCCTCCTATCCCTCTGATACACCTGGGGGCCAAGACCAGGGCTGTTGAAAGTACAGACCATCAGCTTCCTGGGCTTCACACATGTAATAGTAAGAAGGTAACATGGCCCCCAAAGATGCTGAGCGTGCCATCTCAGCCTGCCTCAGTGACCCTTATACACAGTCATTGCATGTTTGGAATGGCTTTGGGGAAGCCAACAGTGTGACCCCAAATCCAGGCAGGCACATTTCTGGTCCTTGAGCTAATTTCTAAGATAAGAACTAAGTAACTTAAAGAAATGAAACCCTTTAGGCTGAAACATCCTCACTTGAAAGAACCAAACCAAGTAGTTTATGATTATAAGGAGAATCCTGTTACTGACATGGTGAAATCTGAGACATTGGGAGAGATAGGTTCTGGGGGTTCAGGCTGAGTTTCAGAGGGATCAGAGATAAAGGCAGGTATCTGGTCTACCACGTGCAACCAGAAGTTTCCTCCTTGACTTTCTGCAAACCTCTGCAAGGACAACAGTTTGCTCAGTTGCAGTGAGAAAATGCAAAAAAATAATGACTCTTAAGGCATATATTGCCAAACTGTCAAGATACCAACAAGTCATGGAGGGCATAGAAGAGCATCTCACCCTCTCTGACTGATGCCTGTACTGCCCGCTGTGAGCTTCCTTCAGTTCTCCCGGGCCTCCCTTCGCTCAGTCTCTCCAGAGCTCACAAAGGACCCGTCTGTCTGCTCACCTTTGTAGAAGTCACCACATGTCATTGGATTTGGTTGACAAGCGGACTTCCTCCCCTGGGGCATTTCCATGGCAATGAAACCACCTAAGTCCATCCACAAAGGCCTGCAAGAAGTTATAGCAACCAGGACAACTGATTCTTCTTGACTCCCGCCTTTTGACGAAATTCTTGCCAACTTCTGGAGTCAAAGCCGTGAGAAAATGTAAGTAGCTCCTTCACCTCCTTACAAAATTGAAAAGACCACACCCCTAAACTTAAGTCTATACTTGTTTTTCTGGCATGAGAGCTTCTTTGCCATCTGTTTCAAATTGTCCTTTCTTATCCTGTCTTCCCAAGCCAGGCTCATAAGAGATTTCTGCTCTAGCCAGGAGTGTTTCCTGAGCTCTCCTGCCCCTCACAATACCCTAATCACCTCTTTACTTACAAACCCCATCTTTAGCTTCAGGCTATATCTCAAAATATACCTACTCTATGACCCTTTCATCACCTCTCTCCTAGAAATTTCCTCCTGCCTGCCCACCTGGTGTCTTCTGTTCTGCACGAGTGGCCCTGCAGGTCTGATATTTCTCCTCTGAGGGCAGAAACTGGGTCCTCACCATTCTTTGCAACTGCCAAAGCTCTGAACAACAGGAACTGTTTGCTAATGACCACGCACATGAGTCTCCATAGTGAAGCATAGAAATGATCCCACACAGGTAATAGAGTGAACGTTCTCAGCCATTTAGATGTAGAAAATCAGCAACAAGTAGGTAAACAAGTTTGCTAAAAGTCAGGTAGGTACTTATCTTTATCTCTTCTTCCAACATCATTAAAATAAAGGGCTATAAAAGATATGAACCCCAAGTGACAGGGAGAGGATTACCGCAGATAAGAGATGCTCAACAAAATGTAGGAAACAAAAAGCAGATAAGCAAGTGGTTCTTCAGTGGCTCAGCAAAAAAGAATCTGCCTGCAAGGCAGGAGGCTCAAGAGCCACAGGTTCGGGTTGGATCCCTGGATCGTGAACATCCCCTGGAGGAGGGCGTGGCAACCCATTCCAGTATTCTGGCCTGGAGCATCCCCCATGGACAGAGGAGCCTGGCAGGCTGCAGTCCACAGGGTTGCAAAGAATTGGACATGACTAAAATGAATTAGCACAGCACAACACAGCACACAGCTAAGATCTAACTGCCAGTAAAGGGACTGGGGAACCAGAGATACGGTTAATTCACCCAGCACAACTCTGGATTTTCCAGGTGGTGCTAGTGGTAGAGTACTTGCCTGCCAATATGGGAGACTTCAAAGATCCGGGTTTGATCCCTGGATTGGGAAGATCCCATGGAGGAGGGCTTGGCAACCTACTCCAGTATTCTTGCCTAGAGAATTCCATGGACAGAGGAGCCTGGCAGGCTATATAGAGTCCATGGTGTCGCAAAGAGTCGGACGCAACTGAAGTGACCTTAGCATGGACACAGTACAACTCTGGAGAGGCACAGATCTTGGCGGTGGTCAGGTATTCATCTATAAAGACAAGAGTGTGGGCTGAGCCTGAAGACAGGAGGCTTGGCTGGGCTTCGACAAGAAGTCAATTCCAGAACCTTCCCACAGCCCACGCAACCAAAGAGCTAGCTTTCCTCCGTCTAGGCACGAAGACCAGGTTTAGCCTCTGGAGAGACTGTGGACTGAGGACTCCAGGGCCAGCTGAAGGCAGGGGTGAGTTTCAGAAAGAAACAGGGGTGTAAGCGAGCAGCTGGGGGAGGAGTGACGAAACCCACCCTCTCTCCCTGCTCAACAGCAGCTAGAACACCAGGAGCCAAATGTATTCCCCAGACGCGAGGGTGGCAGGGTGGAGAATTACTCTCTGGAGAAACTAATCAGCCCCCAGGGAAGACAGGCTTACTTGTCTTGGGAACCGGATGAAAACCCAGGTCTTTGCCAATAATCCCAAGGCAAAGCCCACAGAGTAACCAACATGCATTTCCCCACCCCTGGCACAGCTACCAAACATATATATATATATAGTTTCGAATCAGCTTTTGAGGATCTTGACCATCCACCTGCACCAAGACATTTGCACTTAGTTTCTAATATCAGCCTAAACAAACAAACAAAAAGCAGGAAAAGTAACTGACAGGAAGCAGAACTGAAGAATCAGGAAATATTTTTTTCAAAGAACGAATGCTGTCAGATATAAGGAAAGATATTAAGAAACAGCAAATCTATGTAGAAAAAAAAAAGAAGTACTAATAAAGAACAGTGAACAAGAAAAACCCTTAAACACTAAAAATATTATAACACTTAAAATTTGCATTTAAATATTCAATAGATGATTAAATTGAAGGAACTCTTCTGGAAAGTATAACAAAAAAATTTGGATGGAAAGGGAAAATAATAAGTCAGAAAATTAAAAGACAAATTCATGAAAACTGGCATTCAGCTGGTAAAATGACCTGAAGAAAATGATCAGGGAAAGAAGCTGTAAAATATATATATATATATATAAGAAAATATTTTTTAGTCAAGGGACATGGCTTTCTAGATCAAAAGAGAATATTGCATGTCCATCAAGGCTTATCATCATGAAATTTGGGATAAAGAGAAGCAAGTTCCTTAAAGTTTCCAGAGAGAAAAATCGTCATAGAATTCTTCTCATGAAAAGAATTAGGAATATAAAGAATTGCTTCAAACTCTTCAAAAAGTAGCACTGGGACCCACTTGACAATAGAGAAATGATTTAAAATTCTAACAGAAAACTATATCCAAACTAGAAATCTAAACCCATACTATAATCAAATATGATAGTAGAATAAAGATATTTTCACACACGCTAGGCTTTACAAATATTTTCTTTCTTGTGTTTTCTCTTAGGAAAAAAATGATGGAAAATATGTTCTCCCGTTATGAAGGTCTGAATCAGAAAGAAGATGTGAGATCCAGGAAACCAGGGATCTAACT